ATGGGATGGGATGGGATGGGATGGGATAGGATGGGATGGGATGGGATGGGATGGGATAGGGTCCAGACATGTAACCTCTTGTATGTAACAGTTCAAAAACATGAGAAGGAATGGCATTTTTGATTGACTAAGGAGAAGCCTTGGTCATTCTGCAGCAACAGCAAGGACAAACTGGTATTTCAGGAGATTCTCCCACCAATGCACATGGGAATCAGGAATTTAGGTCACTGAGAAGTAGAGCTTCCACCATCCTGACAAGCAGGAGTTTGGCCCAGTCAGGGCACTGGCTGGAATGTGGTGGCAGTTTGCTGTGGATTGTGGATGCCACTTTGCCCTGTGGTGGATAGTGGCAGAAACTTATTCCCTGTGGGGATGAATTTCCATGGATAGCCCTGCAATTCCTGAGAAAGATTGAGGGAATTTCCTGGGAATATCTCTGCAGATTCTGCCCAAGATTGGCAGGCAAGCACTGCTGGGAATGAGCTCATTTAGCCAGGATCTGGGGAGGATGCTAAACAGGAGAGATGTTAATATTTTTAGAGCTGTTTATTTACATTTTCTGAGAGTCCCAAATTTTGTAGAGATTAAATTAAAAACATAATTGGTATAATTGCTTTTGAACCAGGCATTAATTATCATCTCCGCTTCCTTCTGGAATCCCTGGAGATTCACAACAGCCCCTTCTCAAAGCCCAGCCCACAGCCTCTGTCAGGAGATGTTTCCCTCTGTAATTCCCCACCAGATGCGCCACCACCCAAGGAGAGGGTTCATGGCTCCATTCCAGGGGCGGCCTCGCTCAGACAGTTGGGTTTGTTTGGAGAAGGGTCCCAGCTCTCTGCCAGGAGCCTCCTGGCACTGGGATCTGCCCTGGGCACGTGTTAGTGCAGACTGTGGTCCTGGCACACGACCGGAGCAGCGCCGAGCACAGGAGGGGTCTGGGGGAAAACCATCCCTGAGATGGACAAGGCACAGCCCACGGCTCTTGTGGGTTCAGAAAAGATTTCCCTGGGTACAGCTGTGCCACTTTTTGCTTCTGTTTCCCACCTTCAAGGTACAGTCCAATGATCTCTCTGCTCCTCCCTGGTTTATCTCACCTTCCCATAGCTGGGACTGTTCCCTGGGCAGGGTTTGGGGTGTGGAACCACAGGTCCTGCTCAGGCTGCACCCTGACATTGCTGCTTGTTCATCCAGGGGATGGTTGGGCTGTCCTTGCTGCTCACCCTCCTCTGCTCTCTAAATCAGAGGAAATCAGGAAGGAAACAAGCACAAGGCTGAACCTGGCTTTATGTGCTGCTTATTCCTTGGAACTTGCTATAGATTCCCACCACAGGTGGATGAAGGACGGTGTCTTGGTCCTTTCTTGCGGCTAAAGTCAGAGTTCAGGAATTAGATTAAAACTTCCTTGGGCTGACAATGGAAGACTATGAAAAAGAAAGGGAATGGGTAAGATCAATGAGCCTGGCAAGATGACATGCTAGAGAACTTCAAGGTCTGAGCAAAAACCTACTGGTGCAGCTCAAATGACAGAGAAATATTCAGAAATCTGCAAAGCAGCAACAGCCTCCAGTGCTTGAGCAGAGAAACCATTGGTGGAAGCAAGAGGTAATGAAGGAAGGAGGGAGAGGAGCTCGTTGACCCCATCGAGCCAGAGCTCAAATCAATGGGGGAACTCAGGATTCTCTGTGGCTGGGTCCCCTCATCCTCCATGCACTGTGGGCTCTGAGAATATTTCATCAAAAACTAGGATCATTCTGTGTCTTTTGGCTTTTTGGGTGGGAAATCGAAGCATTCTGAAGAAGTTTAAAAGATCCAACACAAAATACTTTTGAGTCTAAATTGCATCTCCAGAGAAATTTTCAATGGATGTCCCAGACCTCGCTGCAATTAGGATGGAGATTAAACCCACCCACCCTGCCACGCAGCCAGAGGGGTTTGGTGTAATTTGGAGGCTGTGTGAGCCTGAGAAAAGGTGCCAGCCTGGCAGCAGAGCCCCCAGACACAGCATCCCATGGAGCTGTGGGGACAGCCAGTGTTGATGGCTCTCTGGGGGCTGGCTGGGAGCAGGGGCTCCATCGATAGCGAAGAAAGGCTGATTAAAATGACAGATGGACCAAATCCATCCTTTGCCTGCCTCTAAATACTTCCTGAGTCTGTTTTAAGTGGCATTGACCTATGGTTATGGGCATGAGCAGAGGGCTCTGGTGCCTAGTTCAGAAGAGTCATGTCTCTGAATTAAGGTTTTTCTATTTTGATTGTGGTTTTCTTCTGAGAATTGGATTTCAGAGGCCTTGCTGGGGTCAAAAGCAGATATTGTTTCCATTACTTCTGAATGCAATAAATACTTTCCCTGTGAAATCTTTTGCCTTCCATCTCTATGTGTTAAAAGACCATTCCTGCAGAATTTTAATTACTCCGAGTACTTGGTGTTTGAAGGAATAGGATGACAGAAGAAATGTCAGGAGCAAAACGTGAAAAAGAAACTGAAATTGCAATATTTTATGTGTTGAATTTAGTCCAAAAAATAGCCTGATAGGGAAAAATTGTTCTATCACATCATAATTGATGTGATGGAGTGAGATGCTGAGGGTCATTTCAGAATAAAACCCAAGACAAAGCCACAGTTCTTCAGGTTTTCATCCCTCAACATTAGCCAAAAACCAAGGCTGGGTAATCCCTGTTTGTGCAAAGCAGTGACTGAGGGACTTTCACATCAGGGCCTGTCCCAGCATTTCCTTCAGCCCTTCTGCAGCGTTTCACGTGCAGATACAATTTGCACATTTAACATGCTTTGAAAGCAGGATCTGGACAATTTGGGTCGGATCTGATCATTATGAGCTGGGAAAAATAAGCTGCTAAATGTAAAATTGTGTTTGAGTTGTGACTGCAGGGCCCACGAGCAGGCTGGTGCCTGGTGCCATCCAAGCCAAGGGCTCTGTAGGAGCAGAGCCCACCCAGCTGTGCCCACCTGGATGGCAGGGACACACAGCCAAGGGCTTTCCATCAGCCACCACGGGATTTTCCTTCTCCTGGTTACCTTGGGGAAGCCAAGGGGAGAGTCTTGTGCTGCTGAGAGCACCTGGTTATCCCCGACACACTTGGGTGAGGAGGCACAGCAAAGACAAGGCAGGAGGGCAATTGCAGCTGAAATCTGGGTCAGGGAGGGTCCTTCACGTCCTCTGAGAGAAAAACAAATGTCCAGCTCTGCCCCTGTGCAGAGGAGGGGTCAGAGGGTGTACCTGCCTCAGCATGCATGTTTAACACGCTGTGAAAGTGGGGTCTGGACAATCTGGGCTGGATGTGGCCATTAGGAACAGGAAAAAACCAAGCTCCTATTGTGAACACTGCAGGTGCTCACAGCACTCATGCCCAGCTCACTCTGCTGTTCTGTGTAATTAGGATATGACAGAGTAAATGCAGGAAATCTGCTCTAAATGCCCCCCTGGACTGAGGGATGCTGAAAATTGCAGATTTGTTGTACCATCAGGGTTAATGGAGTCTGCTTGCTCCAGCTCTGTATCTGGTCTTTCCTTTGTCTCAGGTCAATGGATGAGGGAGGAAGGTTTCTGATGGATGCTCCCAGGAAGGTGTAGCACAGCAGACCTTGGGTTAGAATGTCTGCATGGACCCCTAAACCAAAACAGGGAGGGTTCTGAAATCCCCAGTGGTATAAATTCAACTGTGAGAAATTAGCATCAAACTGCAGAGTGGGCTGAGGAATCTTTCCTGGACATGGTGTTTATGCAAAATATTCCATCGAGGGCTGTGTGTGGTCATGGAGGGCACCTGCCTGCAGGAGAGGGAAGCTGCTTTGTTTTGATTTGAAAAGGTGGGATCATGGATTGAGAGCAACCCTGGACTGTATCTCATCAAAGGCCCTGCGGAATTAACAAGTCATGCAAATGTATGCAAATTCTGCCTTTAAACATAGAGGATTTAAACATGCTAATTAGATGCATATTAATTTTGTAAACAGACACATTGTCTGATCCGTAGCAACGGCTTCTCCACTCTTTTGCTATAGGGAAGGGTTTGTGTTTGTGTGAGCTTTACTGGTGGAGGATCAGGGACAGAAGTGGGAAATGGACGGGGAGATGGGAGCTCAGGTCCCAGCAGAGGCTGGGAAGGAGCAGTAAGGATGAATGGACAATGATGCAGAGACACTTCTCTTCATACAGCAGGAGGTGCAGACGAGATGGAAAGGCTGCAAAACTTCGGAAACCTTAAAATTCTTTCATGCTGTGAGTGTGTGAAAGCGAGCCGCCGGCCCATGGTGATGGAGCAGAGGGGATCTCAGGGGTGACAAGGGTTTGATGCTGCAGCTGCCAGCAGGGACCCCTTACCTGGCTATGACAAAGAGCACGCAGCTGACCCCCAGGTAGGCGAGCAGGATGTACATCCAGATGTCAGGAGAGAGAGGGTTGAGGAAGGAGAACACGCTGGGGTTGGTCCCATTGGGCTTCCTGTAGAGGATGCTGACCCCCAGGGTCATGAAGGGCTTGGAGAAGTCGATGGCTTTCTCCCTGACGTGAGTGATGGTCAGAGGAGCCACGGCCAGGTCAGCTTTCTGCAAAGAGCACAGAGGGAGGGGACACAGGCAGGGAGAAAGGAGGAGTTACAAACCGAGGTGTTTCCATCCCCTTGGAGACACCACAGCTCTCACACAGCAGAAATAGGCCAAAAACCCCCAAAGAGCAGCCCTGGAGTTCCCCCCTGCTGCTGCACGCGTGGTACACAATTGCTGTGAAATACAGATGTTGGGGGTATAATGCTCACTGTAAAATACAGCATAACCAAATGGAGGTGTTACAGCCTCTGCAGCTTCTGCCTCGATGCCATGAGCTCTTCTGAAATGGTCAGAAAAATCAGATTTTACAGAGTTCTAGAGTGCCAGTGACCCTTGTCTTGCTTGCTCCTCACCACAAGACTCTATTAGAGCGAGTAGGCTGTGTGCAGACCCTGCTGTTGGCAGCAGTGGTTTGTTGTTCTTGCTGTTGTTGTCCTTCCTTTCATTTGTTGTTGTCCTGCCTTTCACGCTGATGCAGGAGGAGAGGAGGGTGTGGATGGAGCTGCAGGGAGCCATGCTGTGGCAGCGTGAGGTGGAAGGTTCAATTTCTTTCCCCTCAGTCATTCCATGACACAACTTGAGAGGCTCAGTCTCGGGCAGGAGCGCTCCGTGCCTGCTCAGGAGGGAGGTGTGGAAGTGAGACCCTCTGAAGAAACACTATTTAATGATGGACTCCTCAGCCCATCCTGCTGGAGTGCTCTGAGCCCCGTGAAGAATTTCAGCTGAGCATGTTCTTTATCCCGACAGCTTCTACGAACTGTGTTTGTTTCTATTATTTCTGTTATTTACTAATTTGTGTGTTAATTCAGCGAGCAACCACGTTCACTCTCTGTTGGTTAAGTGCTGCATTCGTTCCTCTCACAGCCAGGTTCTTAAAAGCCACAAGTAAACACATCCAAGCTTTCCTCAATATCACCCTCCTTGCCTGAGCTTTGCAAATCATTCTTTGAGACTGTGAACTTCCAAAGAAACATAGACATAAATTACAGCTCTGAAGTTGAGCAGAACCACCCCCCATGCCAGGAGCCTGGACGAGATTTATTTAACATCTGGTTCTGAAAATTAAAATTCTAAATTACCCACGAGTGATAATTACCTAGAGATACAGTAGATTTGTCATTATTCATGGACTTTAAATCAACACTGGCTGGAACATACTTTGCTTCAGCAGGAGCTGGGGGTTCACTGTAGGAACCAGAGCAGATCCCTGGCCTGTGCTGGGGGTAAAGGTTGTACTAAAAATTTCATTTGACCTTGCCAATCTGTGATGAAAGTCAGTGAAATATTTATAAATAGAGGAATCTGGGTCTTTTACAATAGGAAGAGTCTCTCCATGAGCTTCTGAGCATTTACGTGTGTGTGTGTGTGTGTGTGTGTGTGTGTTTGTAAGGGACCCCTCTCCAACGAGTGCAGCCTTAAAACTCCTGAACAGAGGCCTTCAGGAATTATGTAACAAGGGTAAAAATGATGTGTTTTTGTTCTAACATGGCTCTCCAGCTGCCAACCCTGGTTGGTTTCCTTTTCTTCTCACTTTTCAAATGGAAATACATTTTTATATCATCCTGGTTCAGGAAGAGCTCATTTCAGTCACTGGCACTTGTCAAAACCTTTGGAAAATGGGAACAATATTTTCCCAGTGAGCCCATTGTGCCAGCTGTGGTTGTGGTGACATGGACAGAAGCTGAAAGGGTTGGAAGTGGCACTGGTGGCTGCCCAGCCTGAGCTGGGGATGTTCTGCATCCTGGGGACCATCCTGGCAGGTTTGGAGCTTGGCTGCTCCCACCACCTTACAGCACACCTGGAAATTTTGGCTTAGGGCTCCGCACAGTCACAAGGCAGAAATGGCAAAAGAAATGCAGCGTTTTCCCTCCTCCATCACTTCTGTGTGGGTGTCCTGACTCACCAGGGAAAGGCAAGGAAGATGTTGAAGGATTTGGCTATGGGTTTTTCTGAAGGAGGGAGCAAATGTTCTATGGCCAGAGCTTGCTGGCAATGGCCAGGCTGAGGGATCCTTGGCCAAATTTGTCAGAATGATACAGTGAGCTAAAGAACAGCCTGGAGTTTGTGCTTTGCCACAGAAAATGAAAAGAGAGAAATCTGCATGGATGCCCAGAGATCCAGCTGCTTTTAACACAGAAATAAAATTTTATTGTGTGGCTCCAGCAGCTCCTGTGATGTGCTCCCAGCCCTGTGTCCTTGCAGGGAATGTCACATTCAGGCAGGACAGAGCATGGATTCTGGAGCCTGGGCTGGGGTGTGTCCTGAGCAATTAGAGGCAGCACAGGGCTGCACTTCCATATCCTTTTTATCGATGCAGATTTTTCTGAAGGTGGCCTCTAATTAAGGGTTTGCTGACAGAGAGGATCTAAATCAAACCCACCAAGGGTGAAGCTTTGATTTGTCGTGCTCTGACATTCCAAACTGGGCAGTCAATTACCAGACTGGCTGCTTCCTTTACTCAGCCCTGGCTCTTGAGCTGCTGCAGTCAGGTGGGTTTTATTAAAGATGGGGAATTAGAGCAAGTGCCAGTGGCTTTAAGACCCTTGTCCAGAAAAACCACTTAAGCCTGCACCTCTGTTTTACTGGAGCTCACACGTCTTCCAAGTCTTGTGCCTGTTCTTAAGTGTTCTGCTGAATTGAGGCCAAAAAGATGAATTCTGCCAAAGCAGCTACACATCAAACACAGACACTTCTCCAACACACCTCCAAGGGTTTGGATCTCCTCATTCACCCAGTTCCAGCATTTCACTTGGCTGGAACAGCTGTGAGTTCACGGGGCGTTCAGCACAGGGATGATTGTGTTTGCTGCAGAGATATTCGGCTTTCATCAGAACATGCCAAGTCTTATCTCCAAGTTCTCAGTTATCAGGGAGATGTGGCCTGTGGGTCAGGACAGCTCCTGTACAGCTCTGGTCACTGTGGGAATCCTGCAGTGCCCAACCTCAGCCAGAGCCAACCTGCAGACAGTGGCTGGTCATGGAGGAGCCCACCAACAGCATAAGCACCAAGATAAATATTTATTCAGGAAAATAAGCTGCCTCTGTGCTTATTTTGCCAGTCTGCGTTAAGTATTTACATAAACTAATCATGTGTGTGTTGCCTGAGAGACAGAAATAGTGTGTGTGTTTTACTGATTTAATTGTTACCCAGCTCTGGCACTGTCATCCCTCTGTCTCTCTGTGAGAGCTGTGGGAGTGCTCTGGGAGAGCCCAGTGCCTGCCCAGGGCCAGGGAAGCATTGGCTTGGGGCAGGGATGCTCAAGGAGAGTGGGGTCAGTGCAAACTGTCTGAGCCTGAGCTGCTCCTGCAACCTCAACCCTAATTTAGACATCATTTTTGTCAATGGATTTATTAAATAGCAGGGTGAATTAAGAACAGATGTTGCCAGGAAAAGCCTAGCTGTGAGCTGAAGGGGAGGAATGAGGGCCACGAGGTCCTGTTGGGGTTTTTCTAATCTTCACTTTAAGAAAGATCTCCAGAGTTGGAACCGTCATTAATTGCACCTGAGGGATGTGAAGGTTGGGGGATTCTGGTGAGAGTGGCACTGCTGGAGGATTCTGGTGAGAAACAAGCCCTACCCTATGATTCCTGGCAGGTGAACCAGCCACAGGGGACAGGGACACCTGCTGAGCACACAGAGAACCCGGGGCTCCCAATACACACATCCTTCACCTGGATCCCTGAGTATGACCCAGTCATGAATCCACCCACCAGTGACCTGAGCACAAAAGGAAAAGCTCTTCTGGTTTATTTCCACCCTGTCCCCAACACTCAGGTCCTGCACTGTCTAAAAAAAGGTGGAGAACACTTCATCCCATTAAATTGTTTTCCTCTATCCCTGGCCCCAGTTCATGATACGTGAGATAAAACATCCATCAGTGCAGGAGCATTAACGGGGAGCTGGCAGTGTGGTGCAATATGTATTTCTGCCAAAATTTACTGTCAGAAAATGCCCACTTATTGTGGAATTGTTAAATCAGCTGTCAGGAATCGTCCCTAAAGATGGATATTACGAGTCCTCTACAGTTACTATTGGCAGGGATTTCCATTAGAAACCCCAGGATTTACCACATCTCTTTTATTCCCACCTGAAGTTTCAGATGGAATGGCAATGTGATGTGCGCTGTCGCAGCAGAAGACAAGTTTTATTTGTGAACAAGTTTCTGCAAAATGTCCAGAACAACTCATTCTGCTGGTTTTATGGGATTATGCCCACAGACAATAGGGAAGATTTGCAGGCATTTCTTTGCCAGACAACTGGAATTTATAAATCAGAACGGATGGGCCACGGTGTGCAGTGGAGCTTTGCCTGTATCAGTAATAATTTCTATGAATAAACATCAATAGCAGTTCGCTGTTGCTGAAAGGAGGAGGTTTGGCAGTTGTCAGGTTCCCTGTTTGTTGTGAATAAAGGGCTCAGGAGCTTCTGTGCATCACCTGGGCTCCCCAGACCTCCCTGAATACCTGAGTTCAGCTCTCGTGGCCCTTCTGATCAAGGCTCCTCTGCGGGAATGGCCAGAGGGGTGACAATAAGCAGTAGACTGAGGTTACTTCTCCAGGGAATGAACTGAACTCCTCAAAACGGGGACTTTTTGTGCTGAGGATGAGCAGCAGATGAAAGGCAGCGGGGCAGGGCTGTTGCATTCAGCTGCATGAGGCTGTTGTCTCTGGATCTGCTGCTGGGGACCTGTCGGACACAGGGTCGTGCTGTGGCTGCTCTGATTGCTGTTGCTTTTCCTGTTTATGCTTAAGGCCAGATAGAAACACAGGGATTTTACAAAGGATCATAGCCCGAGGCATCCCTGCCTGTGGCCAGGCACGTCTGGATCAGAGAGAGCAGAGGGGGAGGATTTGTGACTGCATCAGTGCTCACTGTGTAAACACCTGTCCCAGCACGTGATTTACCTTTGGGGTGCCAGCTTTTGGGGATTTACCCCCTTGGTGGCAGCACCTTTGTGAAACGTAGATTTTAAGGAATTTAGAGATTTTAGAGGAGCTAAGAATTTAGTTAGAGATAAGCCTTACTAGAATTAATTAAAATAAATGAGTAGGCCTTGATAAAGTTAGGAGTTAGTAGTTAACTAATAATTAATTGCTTGTCAGCACAATGTTTAGTTAGCTGGGTTTATAATGAAGAATACACAAACTGACAAAGAGCTTTTAGAACATGAGACAATTGTGGGCCTCCTCTGTTCTGAAACCAACTGAAGACAAGGAATGGGAGTTCTACCAAGAGTTCATTTGTCAGATTGGCATTGAAAAGGTAGAAGGGTCTGAAGGAGGAAGACTTCATTGACTTCCTCATTTTGGGACCCCTCCCCATGAAAGGGACACTGACCCATTTCAAGGAACAAACCACATGTGCTGAATGGCCTTTGAAATGATCAGCATACGAAGTGTGGAATGGGATGTACCAAAATGATGAATATGTATCTGTATTTTGGGTATTCAAAACTTGTATGGATAAAAAGACTCTGTAATCACCTGGAAGGTGTGGTGTGGATTTGGGAGCGATCCCACACACAATAAACACACTTTTTCTAACTTTAAACTATTAGAGAGTTTTTGTCCGTCACAGTTGGATATCAGTACTAGATCAATATCCATATTTTTTTAATAAATCACTTGTCCCCCAGATGCTGCTGTCATGCACCTACCCCCACCCAGCTCCTCTGAGGGGCATCTCCAGCCCACTGAAGGCCACCCCAGGGGACAGGTGTCCCTTGCTCTGCCCATCTCCTCCTCTCTGAATTTCAGCTCAGCTCAGGCTGAGTTGGCTGATTCCTGGTACGCAGAATCTGCTGCTTCCACAGCTCCCAGGTCCTCTGAGCAACAATAATCACCATTTTAGCCTCTCACCTCACCCCTGGAGCACCCCCTGCTCTGCACAGGTCATTGAGGGAGCTCACACCAGCTCAGCCCACCTGTGTCACAGCTGTCCAAGGGGGCTGAGTGTGTTTTCAGCAATGCAATGGCTTTGTGCACTGAATTAATCCTGATCTGGGTATTTGGCCCTCACAAAATCCTGCCTGCTTTATGCTCCCAGCTGAACGATTCCAATTTGTTTATGAGAAGGAGAGATGCTGGAAACACAGAGGAAAGCCAGCTCAGATATCAAACTCTGGGCAGCCCTGTTTTCATCACTACAACTTGGTTTGAATGCTGTCTCTAACAGTTCTCCTCCTGGGTGTGAAATTAGCTCGATGTGGCCTGTTGCAGTGTCCATGGGTTGTGCCTTTCCCCACGCCAGGGGAAGATGCTGCTGAGGAAGGGCCCATCTGGCTGCAATTTCACTTTGGAAGGCTTTACATAAACGCTGCTATAAAAAGCAATGGCATGCAGATAAAGGAACTAATGGCTTCATGAGGAGCCTGGGCAGTGTCCCTGCAGGCACATGCTCAGCCATGCAGGACAGAGCACAGAGCTGCATCTCAGTGTTAGGAACACTACTTGCAGGAAGAGGAGGTTTGGCCCTTCCCTGCTGCTGTGTGTTGATTTGCTTTTTAGGTAGTTACCCAAGAAGTGCTACAATGCAGGTTTGACCATGAATTTTGTGTTATTTAATGAGATGGCTCCTCAAAACTCCTTCTTATCTATCTCAGTTAGCTGACCACAGCTTTGGGAATGCCTGAAACCTCCTGAGAGCCTTGTGGCGTCTTGCAGGACACTGGAAGTGACATGGTTTGGGCAGAATGACTGTCTGGCTTCTATTCCCTTGGGAAGAATTTGCTCCTTGTGAGCCCTGCAGTGCAGTGGAAGAGCTCCAGAGGCTGCTCCCAGCAGGGAATGAGCTCCAGAGCCCATTCCCAGCAGTGAGAGAGCTCCAGAGGCTGATCCCAGCAGTGAAAGAGCTCCATAGCCCAATCCCAGCAGTGAGAGAGCTCCAGAGGCTGATCCCAGCAGTGAGAGAGCTCCAGAGGCTGATCCCAGCAGTGAGAGAGCTCCAGAGGCTGATCCC